TGAATTCAGGTGAGAATAAAAGCTTCATTGTAAATCATTTTTACATTAAAACTAGGGGTGCACTGATGCTTACTTTTGGGCAATGCTGATTGGTACAGGCTGATGCCAAATCATTAGCCCTAAATTCAAGTTTGTACTCTTTTTTTTAAGTTTGTACTCTTTTCTTTTTTACAAGTAGGTAAATTAGGATTTTTTTCAAACAAAACTTTTTAATTCAACTTTATTGCTTTTTAATGGGTTTTTTTTTCAAACAAAACGTTGACAGTTAATTCTAATGCTTGCTTATTTGCTAAAAATTGCTAAATGCATAGTTGCTTTAATCATTGTTGAAAATTTCTAACTATATTCTAGAAATTAAACTTAGAAATAAAATTAAGTAAGAAAAATACAATGAGCAAAGCAACTAAAAGTTTTATAGGCTATTTTAATATAGATCAAATAAATGATCAAAGCAATTTGTAAATTTCGAAAAAAAAAAATATCAAGAGTAGGAACATCTGGCAGAATAATTTTTTTTATATTTTACATTACATTAGTGTCATCCATATAAGATAAGCCATTTTTCGAAATTTTTCCTAGTGACCATTTTAGATTTTCTTAAAATTTACACCCCTTATAGTTTTTACGGAAAAAAAGATTTTCCTAAAATTTCAACTCATTATCTTGAAGCATTGTAAAATTAGGACAATTTGAAAAATTAATGTCTTAGCTTATATTGAGCAATTTTTTTTTTCTCTTTCAAAAAAGTCTTATTTTCAAATCCATATAAATAAAAAACTAATTATCTTAACTACTTAAAAATCAATCTAATGGCCTTGTGCATCCCTGCATTGTTTGTGCTTTTGTGCATCCCTGCATTATCAGCTACGTTGGAACGAGTATTTTCAACTGCTAGAAATGTTCTTTCGGAAAGAAGAAATAAGTTTAGCATTGACAATATTGAAATGATTGTTTTCATAAAATAAAACTTAAAGAAGATCGAAACTATCACCTGGCCAATGTACGAAGAAGATAACAACAAAAAATAAGAAAATATGTACAAAAAAAATATTTTTTTACACGATACAAATTTTTTTTTCATTGCTGTTAACTAATATTTAAACAATTAAATTCATGTGAAAAATAATCTCCCTCAACTTTCAAAATTAATAAAAATTTATTTTACAAAAGTAATTATTTATGGCTATTTTGGACTTCAAAGTTATAAAAAAAAGAATACTTTAAAGAAGAAATTATCAATATTAATAAAGCAGATTAAAGGTGAATACACAAGGTGAAAATTATTTTGTGAGAATATAGGTGGTAGTCATCATTCCTGATATGTTTTGTAACATTGGATTCAAAATTATAGAAGTTACACCCCTCTAAAAAAGCCTCCAGTCTTAAAATGTAAAAATTAGGTCCATTTAAGAACTAAAAATTAAACAGGTGTCCAGTAAATTTAACAACTTTTAGGAATTTATCTTCAATATAAGAAGAAGAAATAAAAAAAAAATTTGGGATGTTTTGTAGCTGCTGAGATATCTGAACTTAAACTTTCAATCAAAATAGGATTCTGGAATCCAAAATCGGCCATTTTGAATCTATTATGTAGTCAATATCTTTAAAACTGATGAACTTTTTAATGTAAAAATTTGTTTGTTTATTCTTTTTTGAACAAGAAATTTAAAAATAAATTTAAAAAAAAAGTACATAAAGGCTTATATATTTTTATAAATAAATTTGAAACTCATAAAAAAGCCAAGAAATAAATTTCAATTACAATAAAAGAATATAAAAAAATAAAATAATAAATAGTAAATCTTATTCTCAAAACAATAGCCTAAATATTTTTGTTAAAAATTTCAAAATTTAATATTTCTTCAAATTCTTGCTCAGAAGTTTGATAGCTTCTTGAAGATTGACTTTGTGCAACCAGAGTATTTACTTTTGCTAAAACATTTATAACAAGAACCCAACATTTGTCACCTCACCTGGGCTGTTTAAAGTTTACTCCATTTGGTTGCATAAAATTTATAAATATCTGAGTCACCTGCAATTTCTTGTACAATTCCAATGTACCACTCATTATCATATACAAATGCAAGATTTATTCCAGCATACAAACCACCTATGTGGTCCAGCCTTCTTCATTTTTAGTTGCATTAACTGTTGTAAAACATGTATGATATACATTTGATTTCCCATCATTACATGGTATAAAACAGTAATGTGAACAAATTCCTGGAAATCTTTTAGAATTAGAGTAGTGGTCATCAAGTTTAGCCTTTTCTATATGATCTGCTATATAAGTTTCAGAAATACTAATGAATTTAATACCTGTTATATTTTCAGTACATTATTTCAACATTTCAGTGACGGATATTTGGTTAATTTGCAGGCTAGTCCTTGCTACAAGTTATTTTACGGTTCAACCAATGCCTTTTACTGTGACTTGTTGCAAAAAATGCCACTGCACATATTCCATGGTCTTAAAAATGATGACATAGATTGCTAAGAGTTTTTATAGTTTTGTATTGGCTAGCTGCTCCATCACCAAACTAATAACATAAGGTCAAATTTGGCAAGACAATTTTTATTCTCCAAGCAAACTTTTTTTTTCTTCACCAGTGAAGCTTTGAATAACTTCTACGCCAACCATTTGAGTAAACAAAGTTTCATGACAACCAAGGTTTAGTAAAACTTCAATATTACATTTTTTGTTACTCATTTTAACTCTTAGTTTTAAGAAACATGTCATTATTTTTTCTAAATATAAAAAAAAATGTAATTTCATTTATCAAAGTTAATAAAATAATAATACTTGGCCACTGCATTTTTTTATCCCCACTTAAAAATACTTTGAATTTAATTTTAGAATACTTTAATTCAAAAAGAATTAAAATAATTTTTAGGTTTGAATATTGATCCATTCTAGAGATATTGGTTATATAACAAATTCAAAATGGCCGATTTTGATTTTTGAAATCCTATTTTGATAGAAAGTTCAAGTTCAGTTATCTCAGTAGCTGCAAGACATTCCAAAATTTATTCTTTCTATATTTTTTCTTTTTATTTCGAATATACATTTTAAGTGTTAAATTTACTGGACACCCATTTAATTTTTAGTTTTTAAATGGACCTAATTTTAGCATTTTAAGGCTGGAGGCATTTTTAGGGGGTGTAATTTTGAATCCAATGTTACATGACTACCACCTATATTCTCACAAAATAATATAATCTTCATATTTTCTTGTGTATTTCTGCTTTCAACTGCTTTATTAATATTGATAATTTTTTCTTTAAAGTATTTTTTTTTTATAACTTTGAAGTTTAAGCCAAAAATAATTATTTTTGTAAAATAAATTTTTATTTATTTCAAAATTGAGGTAGATTACTGCCATCAGATTGATTTTTAAGTATTTAAGATAATTAAAATCCATTTAAATAAAAATTGTTTTTTATTTATATGGATTTAATAAAAAAAAGTTTTTTTTGAAAAAAAAATTTGCTTGAAATAGGCTAATACATTAATTTTTCAAATTGCCATAATTTTAGAATGCTTCAAGATAATGAGTTGAAATTTTGGGGAAGTCTTTTTTTCCATAAAAACTATAAGGGGTATAAATTTCAAGAAAATCTAAGGTCACCCGGGAAGGTTTGGCTCATCTCATATGGAATGACCCATTTACATTTCTTGATTTAATTTTATCTCTTTGTATAGTTTGGATCCATAAGTCATATAATTACTTTCCTAAATAATAAAGACACTAAATGCAGGGAGCTCTTGAATAAAAAAACAGTTCAAAAAATATTTAAAGGTTTAGTGGTTGCAGATATGTCAATATAATAACTTAGGCTTATACATGGATTTTGATTAATGGGAATATTTGTTCATACAATATAGTAACACAAAATAAATCTGATTTTTTAAAAACAATTGGCATCAGCCGATGGTTACCAAGATCGATGCCAATGCATCAGCTAAATGGTCAATGCATCAGTGCACCCTTAATTAAAACATATAAAAAATAACTATGTAATAAAAGTTAATAAAAAGAAAAGAGAACAAATAATATAAATAAATAGGAACAAAAGGAAAAATTGGCTGCAATGCAAAAAAATCTAGAAGAATCAGATGAAGAGTAAAAAATCAATTGTACTTTTTAATTGTTACAATTGTACATATGCAAAATCATTATTATCAATATTTATTATCATAAAAGAACTTAAATACTGAAAAGAACACCAGCGTAAGAAAAGTAGCTGGTTGTTCAAGATGCCATTGATTAATTTTGATTCTTTAGAAAAAAAGTTTAAATTGACGCTGAATTGTACTTTAATTTAAGCAACACCAATAATCCTAAAAACGCAATTCTAATCTTCTGACAAATACTGATGCTAATAAATACAGCATCAAATAATGTAAGGTTGAAAAAAAAGACAAACTAAAGCCAAAAAGTATCTGCTTCATTATTACTTAATTACTATTTTGCTTCATCCCATTATTCATGTAAAGTACAAGGCAATCCAAAATCCAATAATATAGAATTTGTATCAAAAGAGCATTTTTAGTCTAATGTACATTAATCTTACAAGATTTATGTACAACAAAAACTGGTAGGGTACAAATCTAGATTAACTTTAAAAAACTGATAAAGTTTTCAATCAAGAAAATCGACATATAACATGTACATAAAATACAATAACGTGCCATAAAAAACTTATAATTTCATTTGATTTTACTGTTTCAACTTTTTTTATTATACTTTTAAAATAATAAAACTGATCATATCATTAAAAAGTTATAAAACTTTTAATATGTCCAGATTTTTAGTTATCTCATGTTGCTTATATCATTGCTTATATTAGTTATCTCATGTTATATATTGCTTATATCTGTTATTTAATAATTTTTAATAAATCTTGAGATATAAATAAAAATACAATTGTACTAAAAAGAACTTTAAAAATGTGTTGCATATTTTTATTTATATTAACGAGTAAAGAAACATATTTACATGTTGCTGAACTTCTGATGAATCACTGGATGTTAATAGATGTAAGAGACGATTATCCATGTTTCATAATGCTTCATAGAAGCACTTTTTTTTTTATCTATAACCAAAAAATAAGTTTACAAAACATAAATATTGTTACGTATCCACAAACTTACATGTCTTGTTGATTTGTTGTTAACAAATTAATGCTGCAACAACAAAGTTATTGTTATAATAATTTTTATTATTTATATTTTATTTTTTATTTCTTGTTTATTTTTATTTTTGATGTAAATTTAAAAAAATACATTTATTAAATAAATCTAATGATAGGTACAGTAAATGTAGGCTAATTTATTTACTGCTAGAGTATACATAAATCAACTACTTTATCCACACTACTTTAACAGTTGTTAAACATTGCTTATATTCTTTATTAAATAATTTTTAAAGTAAATAAGTCAAATAAGTTTAAAATAAAAACAAGACTAAGCTGTAGGTGCAGTGAGTGTAGATACATCATATCATGTAGATACATCATATCATGATTTTGGTTCAGACAGGCAGCTTATTAATAAATGAAAAATATGTTTTTATTTTTTGTCTTTTTTTGTATTAAGCTTTTTAAACTTAACTTATTTAAATATGGAAATAAAGTTTACTGCTTATAAAAAAATTAAAAAAGCAAGCAAAAATTTACATATAAGTATAGAAATAAATATATACGCACACTTTTACAAAAAAAAAAAAAGATCAGCATTGATCTAATATACTTTAGACATTAAAGTTTTTTAAGACATTTAAGCTATTTAAAAATACCTGTTGCTATGTCTTTTATGTGTTCAATATATAGCAAAATATTGTATTTGAAATATGTCTTGTCAAAAT